CTCCTCGCGCGAGGTTTGTCGCTTCTCTTGGCTCGGCTCACCGCCCAGGTGAGCGATGGCGTTCCTCCTCCTCTCTCTCTTGCTATAAAAACCCCATTTCGGGAGATCTTAGGGTTGGCCGAAATTTTTTTTGAGAGGGTGGAGGTGCTGCCAAAATCTCTTCTCTCCTTAGTTCGATTTTCGATTTTTCTTACTCTGTTCATCTCGTGTGCTTGAACCCTTTTGGAAGTGTTGTGGAGTTTTCGGGGCCGAAAATTTTAGAGAAGGGGGAAGTGCTGCTGGATTTTTGTGGCTTGTTGGGTTAATTGCTGGTTCACTTGATACCTTTGCTTGGTTGCTTGGTTGCCTGGTTGCTTGCTTGGCCATTAATATTCTAGGTGGAAGCTTTGATAGAAGAAGATGCTGTAGAAGTTTTTTTGGGTCTATTCTTGCATTTACTTTGGATTTGCGCCAAGAGGTATCTCTTCCTCCCTTAGCTATTCATTACCATGGTTTGTTGACTTGGTTGCTTGTTCTAACTTCAATGTTTCTTTAAAAAAAAAAGGAGGAGAAGGATGTTTGGTGAAACTTGTAGCTTGCACATAGAATGGTAGTTGGGATTTCCCCTTTTGGCTCCATGTTTGAATGGTCTTCTAAGCATGCTTAGGAGAAAATATTTGGAGCTTCTCTTTATTATTAGTTTCGTTGATTTTGGAGATCACATATTCAAATGCTTGGTGAATTCACATTCTTGATGATTTAAAGAAAAAAATTATGGAGCTCTTCTTTGCTTTTCATTATGCGGATCTTGAAAGAAACGTTTAGAAACTCTTCGTGAATCGTTTTGCGCATAACTGGTAAAGATTAAAGAAAGTGCAATTAACATTTATTCATGTAGTAAAAAAAAGGGATTCCTTATTTTTATTTGAGCTTGGACTTTCATATGGATACATTTGAGCTTATGTTTTATATTCTTATTACTCTCACTTTTGCTGCAATATGTGTTGGAAATTGCTTTGTGAGATAACACATGTATTTATGGGTTCATTTCATGTTCCTCATACTCACCCTTTTGCTGGAATACATGTTGAAATTGTTTTATATGTTGGAAAAATTACATTTAGGGCTCCCATTATGCTTCCCTTGCTGCCCCTTATTGAAATATATGCTGGAAGTTTATTTTTAAATGCTGGAAGTTACATTTAAGGCTCATATTTTGCTTTTCTTGTTGTCCCCTTTATGGGAAACATGCTGGAAATTATGTTTATGAGCTGGAAAAATATATTTGGAGCTCATTTATTTCATCTCTTGCTGCCCTTTGATAGAAAACATGCTGAAAATTGTTTTATATGTTCGAAAAATTACATTTAGGGCTCTTATTATGCTTCCCTTGCTACCCCTTATTGAAATATATGCTGGAAGTTTATTTTTAAATGCTGGAAGTTACATTTGGGGCTCATATTTTGCTTTTCTTGTTGCCCCCTTTATGGGAAACATGCTGGAAATTATGTTTATGAGCTGGAAAAATATATTTGGAGCTCATTTATTTCATCTCTTGCTGCCCTTTGATAGAAAACATGCTGAAAATTGTTTTATGAGTTGGGAAATTACATTTGGGGCTCCCATTTTGCTTCCCTTGCTGCCCCTTATTGAAATATATGCTGGAAATCATTTTTCAAAGTTGGAAAATCACATTTGGGGCTCACACCTTGCTTTTCTTGTTGCCCC